TAACACTTTGAAGACTTTATCTTTATGCTGTGGTGTAGGATTTTTTACCACACCAGTTTGCAAGTACCCTCATTTTTTACTTTTTTCCAATTCAATCCTACTACTTTTCCATTTTTAATGTTTTTTATCTACTTGTACAACTGCCAGTTGTGTCACTCTAAAATGCAGTTGATTAATGATTTCATTCTTTAGTGCCCTAAATGTAAAAAAATCAAAAATATCTGAATGTAAGATAGTAGTAATCGCTAAAATTCACCTCAAAGTGGACACTAAATTGAAGAGAAATGTCCTTCTCTTGATAGATTCCATTGAAGAGAAACTTTTGATGATTGATTCTCTTAAGCTAGAAGTTGATGCTAACAACATAGCGAAAGGTTTACTCTGAAAAACAATTAAAACCACTTATTGTAAACATTATTGCACTGATTTCAGTTGATTATTGATAATGAAGTATTTTGAAATGTCATTTACTTGTTTTGCTCACCCCTCAATGTTTTACATTCACCTAGTTTACAATCCAAATTTTGGATTATTTTTTTCTGTAAAGTATGGTAAAAAATTTTGTACTATTATTATTATTATTATTTAAGATCATTACGGTGTGTACGTAACTTACAGAAATAATAGATGTAGAAAATAAAATGACGTAAATATACTGAAGGTAGATCAGAAACATAATCTGATCCCCAGCACAAAACAAATAAACAAACAAAAAAAGAATAGCAACATAATTAAGAGAAGTAGAGAGGGAAAGACACAAATCAATGAATGACTAGGATGATAATAAATTACAGTTACAACAAAGACATAGAAAGTGAAAGGAGCAGGAGAGCGAAGAAAAATTTACTAAAAATTGATTACAGAAAAATTTGTCTTAGAGTGTTTGTAGCCTGACCTAATGACATAGATATTAGGGCATAGTTGGAAGAGTGTTTCACAATCTTGGCAGCCGTGAGTAGTAAAAGTGTTGAGTTTCACTTCATCTATAGAATCTATGGTTGAGTTTAAAACCATTAGATCTAGTAGAGGAGGATGTGAAGGACACAAAGTTACAGATATTGAATGCGGTAGCCGTACTAGATAAGGATGTCAAAAAGAATGTAATGTTACACAATTCGTAAGTCATCATCCATGGCAAGATTTGTAAAGAGTGAAGTCTAGTCTTATAATCAGAGGAATAATCATTAAAATCCACTTAGTGGCTTTATGTGGTACCCCAACTAGAAGCAATATGTCCCATCTAAGATGTGGTCTCCACACTGGAGAACAGTATGTAAGTTGGGAGTGCATAATAGTGAGATAGAGGTATGAGTGGAAGAGAAAGCATGCCTAATTAGGCCAAGCATTTTATAGGCTTTAGCAACAATAGTATTTATGTGCAAAGACCAGGACAAATCTTTTGATACAATAACTCCAAGATCCCAGCAGCTATCTGTACTACCAATCACAATCATAACGGTAATAGTCAAAAATCATGGGCGAACTGGATGATGTAAACCGGAGGATAGTTTTACTTAGATTAAAAGATAGATTATTGACACTCCAGTGAGTAAGCAAATCTAAAGCATGCTGAAGTTTCACTGAATCAGTGCCATAACCACAAATTACCTACAGTACCCACAGAATGAAGTTTTTAAAAAAGAATGTCATGAGGGACTGTGTCAAAGGCCTTGCAAGTATTTTAATAGATTAATCTGATTTAAGGTTATGGTCATGATTGACAAAAAGGACATTTAAGAATGTAAGTAACTGATAGAGCATGCAACGACCAGGAATGAAACCAAACTGAGAGTCTGATAGAAGTTGGTAAATGTGATCAATAATCTTATCATAAATGATTCTCTCCAATACTTTAGATGTTGAAGATAGAAACGAGATTGAACGATAATTCCGAACTGAGGTCTTATTACCAGATTTGAAAACAGGAGTGATACAATGTGTACGCCACTCAAGTGAGAGAGATGTAGAAACATTGAAGAGTTGTTGGAGAGGACCACACAATGCAACAGCACAACTCTTAAGTATCTGTGGACCAATGCCATCTAGGCCGATGGCTTTTGAAGGATCTAACTTTGACATCACATTACAAACATAAGCTGCAGTGATATCTATAGTATCAATAGTGGTAGATAAGGATACCTGAGGAGCCACAGTCACTTTCTTATCAGAATAAAGAGAGTCAAAGTATCTATCAAATATATCAGCTTTATCAGCATCTGTGGAGGCAGATATGTTATCTAAAGTGACTTGTGGAGAAATAAAATATGATTTAGTAGTAGAATAAAAAATAATTTTTTTATTAATTAACGTTTATTATTAATAATCGAACTAATCATTATTAATAATTTAACTAATCATTATTATTATGATT